TCTGCATACTGAGTACTTTTACTTTATTTTGATGCTGGTACTTTGTACTTTTAGTTCAGTAAACATTTGAATGCTGGACTTCCACTTGAGTATTTGTTCTTTAGTACACTTTAGTATTGCTGCTTTTACTTATGTTCAGTGAAGCCTAACTAGGACAGAGTGACACTGGGTAGTTTTGTCAGCTTAGTGTTGCTGGAGTCTGATAAGTGTTTGACTTCTTTCTAAATCAGGGTGATACGTCTGCATTCTCTCAATAGTCTGCTCATCTGTCCCTGTCCAATGTTGTTACCACTGATGTGGCCAGATCCAGCATAAAACCTTCACCAAAGCAAAACTGTCTTTTAAAGCAATACTGTATTGCAGGTGTTTCTGAAATATTTGCACCTTACAATTATGTCAATGTTACAATTAGTCGGAGACTAATTTATTATTCGGAGCAGTTATAATTTCAACACTGCACTATAAATCGTACGCCAAGCCATTGTTAACACGTTTTCTCTGTAAATCTGGCTTATCAGGGTTTTGAGTCCTGCTGGTGATAAGAGGTGTATCTTAGCTGTAGTCACAGGCTTGATCAAATCAGTGGCATTGGTGGTTTCAGTAGTTTGACGTGCACAAAAAACAGCCTTAAAACTATGAGCTCCACATGGCATTTCATTGAGATTCTCTGCATGACAATTGAGCTGCATCCAGTGATGAAAACTGTGGGATATGGTTGAAAGTTTTGGGAAAAGTTAGATACCAAATACTGTGTTAAAATTTTATTTGTCAAATTGTTGCTTAAAAGGGATAAGAATTAACTTTTATGTGTTCATTTTTGGAAAAACTGATGAAAATCAAATTGAATAAGTTAGAACAGGGTTAGACGTACTGTGCAGTACGAGGTATTAATGTAATATTGTGGGCTTTACTCTTAGAATGAGTCAGCAAATTCAAGGTAACAGAGTAGTAAAACATTGAACTGCACTCACTGTGCTTTCCCAAATTGCAGTATCATCTTGGCTGTAACCCCTTTATTTTGTGAAATCACCAGTTAGTTTGACTTCCACTTTGACCTACAGTAAACAGTACTTCTGGTGTTGGTACAACTCCAAATCAGAAAAATTTGGGATGGTATGTAAAATCAAAATTTAAACTGAAAATAGCAATTTGTAAATCATGTGTCCTGTATTACACTAAAAACTGTGGTTACAGTATATCGCTTAGAGAAGAGTGCCGATTCTTGATGCAGTGCCATCTGAGGGATTGGAGAGCACAGCCATCCAGCTGAGGCTTGTGCCCTCTACACACTGAAATCCCTCCGGCTTCCTTGGATCTTTTAATTGCACACATTCCAAAAAAAGTTGGGACAGAAATGTGTTTACTACGGTGTGATGTTGCCATTCCGCTTCACAACACTTGAAAGACATTTAGGGACTGAGGACACCAAGGGTGTCAGGTGTAATTTTGTCCCATTCTTCTTCCAAACATGTCTCAAGGTGTGCAACAACATCTGTGTCCTGTATTACATTGAAAACAATACAGCAGCACATTATTTGATGTGACACCTCATCCATTTTATTCTTTGTTCAGAGTAAACACTTCAGTTCTGATACCTGCAACACATTCCAAAAAAAGTTGGGACAGTGAAGCATTTACCACGGTGTGATGTTGCCCTTCTTTTTCACAACACTTAAAAAATGTTTAGGGACTGAGGACGCCAAGTTATTAAGTGTGTCAGGTGTCATTTTCTCCCATTCTTTCTGCAACCAAGTCTTAAGGTGCGCAACAGTCCTGGGTCTTCATTGATGCAATTTGTGTTTCAAAATGTGTTCTCTATTGGGGACAGGTCGGGGGTGCAGGCAGGCCAGTCCAGTGCTTGCACCCTTCCTTGGGTGCAGTGTGAGGTTTTGTATTGTCTTGTTGAAATATGCATGGACGTCCCTGGAGAAGATGTCATCTTGCAGGCAGCACATGTTGCTCCAAAATCTCGATGTATTTTTCAGCATTAATGGAGCCATCACAGAAGTGTAAGTTAGCTTTGCCAAGTGCACTGACACAACCCCAGACCATGACAGACTCTGGCTTCTGGACTTGATGCTGGTAACAGTCTGGATGGTCCTATTTGTCTTTGGTCCGGAGCACACAGGGTCCATTCCTTCCAAAAAGACCTGAAATACTGATTTGTCTGACCACGTTTCCACTGTGTGATGGTCCATCCCAGATGCTTCCGAGCCCAGAGCAGTCGAGTGCGCCTCTGGACATTGTTGACATAGTTTCCTTTGGCACACTACAGTTTTAAGCAGCATTTATGGACATAACTATGTATTGTAGTGACTGACACAGGTGTGCCAAACTAATCCTGAGCCCATGTGGTTACAGTATATCGCTTATAGAAGAGTGCCGATTCTTGATGCAGTGCCATCTGAGGGATTGGAGAGCACAGCCATCCAGCTGAGGCTTGTGCCCTCTACACACTGAAATCCCTCCGGCTTCCTTGGATCTTTTAATTGCATTATGCACTGTAGAGGGTGACATATCCAAATCCTTTCCTAGCTTTCTTTGAGAAACATTGTTTTAAACATTTCAGTAATTTTCTAACACATACACTATGTTGGCAAACTGGTGGTCCTCGGCCCATCTTTGATCCTAAAAGGCTCAGCCTTTCCTGGATGCCACTTTTATACCAAATCATGATGCACTCACCTGTTTCAAATGGAGTCGTCATTTCATTGTTTTACCTCATTACTGGCCCTGAAATGCAGCCTTCCCTACTTTTTTGGAATGTGTTTCAGCATCAGATTTGAAACGTTTATTTTGAACAAAGAATAAAACTGATGAGGTATCATATCAAATAACGTGCAGCTCTATTGTTTTCAATATAATACATGACACAGATGAGTTACACATCACTATTTTCAGTCTTAATTTTGTTTTTTTCATACAGTCCTGATGTTTTCTGATTTGTATTGTTTTTGATATCATCACATTGCTTACAATTGCAGTTTTGCTGTCTTGTAGCCAAGGTTTACATGGTCTCTAAACGAAGACCAGTTCATGGAAACAAAGGATAATTATGTGTAGAAGAATTTGCATTGTAAGATGCTTGCATGTTAAAACCAGTTGTGATGAATGGTGCGATAGATTCATCATCTTTTTTTCATATGTGGAATATCTAAGCTGAGAGTGAGCAGAACGAAGAAGGCAACCCTACATATTTTACATGGTGGTTTTTATTTGTTCTTTTGGCATTGATAATGATTTTTAGAAAGTGGAATATAAAAGTTGTTGCTAGTGTTTAATATTTTGAATTTTCAAATTAGTTATTACATAGAAGGAAGTTGGTAGCATTCACAAACCAGAAAAGGTGGAAATGTTTGCTTGTTTATCACATTGTATGCTGGAATGTGTTTTCCTTTTGTAATTCCATGGAAGATAATGTTGTGTCATCTGCTGTCATAAGGACAGTCATTTTGCTTTGTCAATTTTCTTGTCTGTGTTTTTACCAAAATGATTTTTATGTCTCATTATTTCCATAGTGATGATGTGAATATGGAGTACTATGCACTTTTGGATTTTGTTGTATGATGATGATATTGTTGTATGTGTGTTGCCATGGACGTCTTTCTTGTACTGCAAGCCAGATTTATCCATGGGTGTAAATAAAATAGCTTGATGGATGCTGAAAAGGTTTAAGGCTAATACATGGTTTAATGTGTGAGAGGGTTAAGGGGCCAATAACACGAACTGAATAACTAGAAGCTGTTATATGTCCAAAAGAAAAGTATGTGTTTAAAACAGACTTTAGCACATTTATTGGATTGCGTTTGCTTGATATTTTGTTACATGGTGATAGTATTAATAGGCTGATGAAGCCTTAAAAATAATCCACATTATGGAGTCATCATTGGAGGGAAATCTTTGTTTGTTAAACCTGGGATTTGTAGCAGTGTCTTGCAAATTTGGCTGCAGAACCAATACCAGGAAGGAGATTGTCATTGCACTTCTGTTCTGCCAAATCATCATGTGGTCATTTTATAAATCGCTACCATACATGATTGACTACTGAACCTGGCATAATAAAAGCCTATGCTGACACCGCATGATGAACTGCTGTGAGCAGCATACTGCACATATGTGAGCCAGTGTTTTTGGAGCCATCTCATAAAGAGGCAGTCTACTGATCATTTACTGCTGACTGTAGATTTGATGCATTTTGTGTAAGGACATGCTAACCAGCTTCCCAAGCAGACTATTGAGGTTAGCCTTCCCCTGCCTTGTCGGTAAACATTAGTTTGCATTCATTTACAGTGGGTACGGAAAGTATTCAGACCCCCTTAAATTTTTCACTCTTTGTTATATTGCAGCCATATGCTAAAATCATTTAAGTTCATCTTTTCCCTCATTAATGTACACACAGCACCCCATATTGACAGAAAAACACAGAATGTTTGACATTTTTGCAGATTTATTAAAAAAGAAAAACTGAAATATCACATGGTCATAAGTATTCAGACCCTTTGCTGTGACACTCATATATTTAACTTAGGTGCTGTCCATTTCTTCTGATCATCCCTGAGATGGTTCTACACCTTCATTTGAGTCCAACTGTGTTTGATTATACTGATTGGATGTGATTAGGAAAGCCACACACCTGCCCATATAAGACCCTACAGCTCACAGTGCATGTCAAAGCAAATGAGAATCATGAGGTCAAAGGAACTGCCTGAAGAGCTCAGAGACAGAATTGTGGCAAGGCACAGATCTGGCCAAGGTTACAAAAAAAATTTCTGCTGCACTTAAGGTTCCTAAGAGCACAGTGGCCTCCATAATCCTTAAATGGAAGACGTTTGGGACGACCAGAACCCTTCCTAGAGCTGGCCGTCCGGCCAAACTGAGCTATCGGGGGAGAAGAGCCTTGGTGAGAGAGGTACAGAAGAACCCAAAGATGACTGTGGCTGAGCTCCAGAGATGCAGTCGGGAGATGGGAGAAAGTTGTAAAAAGTCAACCATCACTGCAGCCCTCCACCAGTCGGGGCTTTAGGGCAGAGTGCCCCGACGGAAGCCTCTCCTCAGTGCAAGACACATGAAAGCCCGCATGGAGTTTGCTAAAAAAAACACCTGAAGGACTCCAAGATGGTGAGAAATAAAATTCTCTGGTCTGATGAGACCAAGATAGAACTTTTTGGCCTTAATTCTAAGCGGTATGTGTGGAGAAAACCAGGCACTGCTCATCACCTGTCCAATACAGTCCCAACAGTGAAGCATGGTGGTGGCAGCATCATGCTATGGGGGTGTTTTTCAGCTGCAGGGACAGGACGACTGGTTGCAATCGAGGGAAGGATGAATGCGGCCAAGTACAGGGATATCCTGGACGAAAACCTTCTCCAGAGTGCTCAGGACCTCAGACTGGGCCGAAGGTTCACCTTCAAACAAGACAATGACCCTAAGCACACAGCTAAAATAACGAAGGAGTGGCTTCACAACAACTCCGTGACTGTTCTTGAATGGCCCAGCCAGAGCCCTGACTTAAACCCAATTGAGCATCTCTGGAGAGACCTGAAAATGGCTGTCCACCAACGTTTACCATCCAACCTGACAGAACTGGAGAGGATCTGCAAGGAGGAATGGCAGAGGATCCCCAAATGCAGGTGTGAAAAACTTGTTGCATCATTCCCAAAAAGACTCATGGCTGTATTAGCTCCAAAGGGTGCTTCTACTAAATACTGAGCAAAGGGTCTGAATACTTATGACCATGTGATATTTCAGTTTTTCTTTTTTAATAAATCTGCAAAAATGTCAAATTCTGTGTTTTTCTGTCAATATGGGGTGCTGTGTGTACATTAATGAGGGAAAAAAATTAACTTAAATGATTTTAGCATATGGCTGCAATATAACAAAGAGTGAAAAATTTCAGGTGGTCTGAATACTTTCTGTACCCACTGTAGCTATGTCGTCTTTTGTTTTCTTTCAGAGTTGGGCTTTGTCAATGGTAATGCTGCTGAGAGAGAGACTGCAATGCTCTCCAAGTGTGTGGAGGAGTACAAGAACTGATCTATCTGCAGTATGCCTTCATGCCTCAGCAGCAGCTTGTAGCTTTGTGTGTACCATGGGTGCACCAGTTGTGGCTGTTGTTTCACTTGATCATTGCTTAGTAAATTAGGTTATTGGATTGATGACTAATAAGGCGCTGCAGTGTTTTATTACATGGCTTAAAATGGGGTCCAGTTATAACTTAGTAATAATACTGGCGTGGAGATTCTTTTATGTTCAAGAGGAACTTATAACTACAGCCTTGTAGAGTTTCACGTGTCTCGTGTATAAGAGCATTATTGGTACAGTGGGATGTTTTAGGATAGATTTAACAGAAATGTTGCTGTTGTGGCTCTCTATGTTTACTTGTACTGGTCTATAATGGGCCAAGACTGAATGATGACTACAGGTAATACGCACATGCAGAGGATTGAGATGTTGATAGAAAACCACGAGTTCAAATCTGATTGTTCTGATATCAGCTGCATGGTCAGAGTTCGGATCTGATTCTGATCTTAGACCACATACGGAAGTGGCCCAGGTCTCATTTGAAAAAAATATTATTTAGTTTGTTCATGTGTTAAAACTTCAGAGCTGAGTCAGTTGGAGGGTGAAAAAAATCAGATGAGGAAATGTGAACATAGCTTTACTCACAACTGTTAAAATTAACAGTTTAATTACTGCTCAAATTAATGCCAGGCATCAGAAATGTAGCCTAATCTGTGGTTGTGGTGGATCAAGTGTGTATATTGTCAAAAGGGAACAAAATATTTTGGTAACAGAAAAATATTGTTTGAGAAGAAGTATGTTTATTTTTTAGCACTTCAGTGTTTAGTTTTTAATGCATTCAAAAGGTACATCATAGTTCTACAGTTTTAGTCAGTTTCTAATGTCACACCATCATTAATAAAGCTTTTATTGTTGTATTTCTCCAATTCTGTGCATCATCGGCCTTGTGTATTTGTTTTAAATGTAACTTAGATTAAGTAAAGCCATCTTTTCTGTCTAAAGGCAGTGTCTTTGCCTTGATAATTCATCTTGTAAAATCAGAATCACAGATTTTTAGACTTATTCTAACTTGTGATGGTGTCAATGGGAAGATGAGCAACAAGTAGATATATGTAATGGTTTAAAAATGGTGATCAAACATATGGGTACAGGATATCTGAAGAAGAGATGTCATATTTGCTGTGTTGAATATTACAATAGTTTGCAGCTGTTGAGTTTGTGTGTGCTTCTGATGCTTTCAGTGTTGTGTAGAAGCCATGGTGCTTGCTGCTCTTTGCTGTTTTAGAGTGCAGGAACTGTGGGTGTTAGGTGCATCACCTCTGAGCACATTGTCATTTCATAACGTCCAGTAGTGTGTTTTAGTGGCTATATCTGTCGAAACCATTAGCCTGTTGTTGTTATTTCTTTTGAGGTGTTATTATAAATCTGTTCAGTAAGTAGTTTTTTAAAAATGCCTTTATCAGCCGTGGTTCTAGTGGAATCTACTTATTCTGGTTTTACGACAATGTTAGGATGTATTTCTTTTAAAAGCCTGGTACATTTTGGTTTAAATACTAGGTGACATTTAGGAGTAGAAACCCTAAAGGATAGGATCTCTGTGTGTTATAGTTGACTCTGCTGAACAAGCTGTGTAATGATGAATGGATTTCTTAATAAAAAAAAAAGAATGCTAATATGATATACTTAGCTATGGCTCTAGGTCATAAGAGCTGTTTGAAATCTGGCCTCACCTGATATTTGTAGTAGCGCTTTTTATCTGTTCCTTTTTACTGTTAGATTTAGCTAGGATGCTACATCATCTATATAACGTTTGTTTGAGCTACAGAAGTGATTGGCTGATGGTGCTAAGTATTAATTTCGTCTTTTAGACCGACTGGGATGCTAACATCTACCAAAGTGTGACAGAGATTTTAGATCCTCATAAGGAAATGTTTTCAGCCAAAAACCAAAAACGCCTGCTTGCTGGCTGTATTCGAGCTCTGCTTGGTGAAACCAGGGTACTGAGTGATCTATTTTAGGAAGCAGTAGAAATGATTGTGTCCCTGCCAGTGTTGTATTTCTTTTGGAAATGGTAATGCCTACTACTAAAGTTAAGTGACTATGGAAACAGATTTCTAGATGTAACACCAGTAAAAGTAGACACACTCTTTAAAGCAGTTCTAGTTACTGACAATAACTGAATACATCAGCAGGCAGAAAGACTGACATTAACTTCTTATGCAAGTGATGTATTGATCAGTGTTTTTGATAGCACATTTTGAAATAAAGGAAATCATACAGCACATAATGCAGGAGAAATGTGATAATTTGTCAACAGTGTTATTTTATTAAGTGCAGTTCATTCATGCTAATATTTTAGGCCAGCCAATCCAGGATTTGTGAGAATGATGTAATGTTTAATTTTTAGGGACATAATATGATCATGCTATATCTTCTGAGATTCAGTCAAATGTTTTTTGACAAATTTGTGTTCACAGAACTGTTATTAGCGCACTGGGTCACTACATTGGTGCTCAGCAGTAGTGGCATCACAGTTTGTAAATTCCTTGAAACTAACTGCATGTTTGGAATTTCTGTACTCTGTCTTGTTAATTATATACAGAATTATCACTGCATCGATGATATAATAAAATCAGCTGATAATATTGATACGGCAGTTTTACTGGTCAGGCGATTTAACACCCTACTTGTTGAGTAGCTTGTTGAGCACGCTTTTTTTTTTTTGCCAAATCTGGTTTTTAAAAAAGAAAAAAAATGTAAGCTATATCTCCTTATGGGTATGAGTGCTTGCAAGTCTTGCTAAAAATGGGCGAAGTCAGTTATGTTTTATTTCCAAATATC